TAACTATCGAGCTGATAGGGTCATATCCTTCAGACTTGGACGTACATGTTACAATTTACCCTTCGACGTTGTTGCCCTTGTCCGGAACATTTGCGTTGCTTAGTGGGAAAGAAACTTGTACAGAACTGGCGATAGGCGACTATTGTACCCCCGAGAAAACGTCGAGAATGCCGTTTAATGTCGATGCGACTACTATGGCGCAGAAGCTATCGTCGCTTCCTGGTTTGACTGGGACTTTGGTCTCGTTAGGGCGAGTAGTCTCGAATTGGGAGTACGAGTGGATAGTTACATACACACACGCGTATCTCGATGTACCTTTACTGGAACTTGACAAAGCCAGTGTTGCAGGGTCTGCTGTGTACACAAAAACCACGAGACTACAGAAAGGTTTCGGTATTGACGGCGTCAAAGTGGCTGTCGAGGTGTCTTCCAATAACCAGGACTATTCTACAAGTGGAAACGTGTATCACTACACTCCAACGCCTGATGTATATTCGCTCCATCCGAATCATGGGCCTCTAATAGGAGGAACCGAAGTTGTCGTTACTGGTATTAATTTCCAGAACACGAGTAGTCTACGTTGTAAGTTTGGTGAACGCGCTACAGCAGCCGCAACATTTATCAACTCGACACAGTTCACGTGCATATCTCCTAGTGGTCTTAACGAAGGCGACGTGTACGTGGAAATAACCAACGATGGACTCTTTGGGGAGTCGATCTTCACAAGCAGTAGAAACGTCTTCACGTACGATCCAGAGATGAAAATTGACTCGGTTTTCCCTTCTTCAGGACCGATAACGGGGAATTTCTCGGTTCAAATAACAGGTGGACCATTCAAGAAAACCGACACTATACGTTGCAAGTTCGCTGAGATTGTTGTGGTGGCCAGTTGGATGAGTTACGATGAAGTTTTGTGTACCGCACCACCTCATAGCCAAGGCGTTTTCACGCTGGAATTGACTCGAAATGGCCAGGACTTTACAGATACACTGATACCGTTTACATATTACGAGGAACAAGGAGTCCGTTCCATTTCCCCCACTTTTGGCCCAGCACATGCAGCTGGAACTCGAATTGATGTGGACGGAGTGGCGTTGGTGAATTCTTCCTTGCTATCCTGTCGCGTCGGCTACGTCGTGACTCCCGGTGAGTACATTAGTCCAACAAAGATGCGATGCACAACGCCACCTCTACCGACTCACAGTGGTGGCCTCGTGCCTGCGTCGCTGCCGGAGTATCGAAATCAATACGTTGATCCAAATGTTGGCAGCTTCTACTTGTTCCCGGACGCGCATTACTATCCGCAGTACTTTACCCGATTAGTGTCCGTGGAAGTGTCCAACAACCAGCAGGATTTCTCTCTCAGTGGAATCAACTTCCTGTACTACCAAGACGAAACTCTCGAGGCCATCGCCCCAACTCAAGCGTTCGACAGTGACGAGCCTCTGTTGATTTTTGCCTATGGACAGAACTTCATTAACACGACAGCGTTGGCCTGTCGTCTTGGACTGCAGACGTTTGCAGCGACGTTCGTGACCTCGAAGTTATTGCTGTGCGAGGTAGCACATCCGATGTTGTACGACGATTCAAGAAGGAGTTCAGATAAATTCCACGACCTCACACAGCCAAGACACGCGTTGTTTGAGGTGTCCAACAACGGGAAAGATTTCACCACCAGCCACGTCATATTTGAGTTCCTAGGAGCCTGTCCGACCGGGTACTTCTGTCCGAAACAGCTTCAGGGATCAAACGGGAAAATTCCGTGTCCTCGAGGCACGTACTGTCCGGGTGTAGGCAACTCTGCCTTCACTTTGTGTCCGAGAGGGGCGTACCAGCCCAAAACTGCGCAAGCTGCGTGTCTTCGATGTCCGATAGGGTATCACTGTCCGCATACGGGTAT